GATTTGTGGGCTGCCCATCCTTGATGTGAATCTCTCGTCCCACTGTATCCCAAATGTGCATTAGGCATTAGGCAAAGTCATGGTTATGGGAAATTAAGTAAGCATAGTTTCTTCGGGGCAGCCTGGCAATGCTGTTGTTGGCACTCTCGCTACGAGGTCCAAGAAAAACTCAAGAAGGTCCTGGGCTCAAAGTGAGGGTCTTTCTGTGTGGAGTTTGCATGTTCTTCCCATGTCTGTGTGGGTTCTCTCCGAGTACTCTGGTTTCTTTCCACAGCCCAAAGACATGGAGTTACTTGAGTTAGGTTACCTGGTGATTCAAAATCACCCAGATTGATGTGAATGCGAGTACAAATCGTTGTCTGTCCATGTTAGTGACCCGACTGGCGACCTGTCCAGGTTGTACCCCGCCTCTTGCCCTATGGCACAATGGTAGGGTGATAACCTTGAGTGCAGCTGGGCTGATGGTTAAGGCGTCTGGCTAAAAATGCACGCTTACGGTTGTGTGGATCCTCAAACATTAGCTCAAACATTACATCAGTTAATTGAATAGAACATCGAGATTCATTTAATTAACATGCTAGCAAAATATAAACCTATGAAGAAGCAAGCCAAGCCACAATAATATTAATATATAATCACCTAAATCTAAATCTGAATGCAAACAGATAAACATTTCATATAAAATAATGTGGGTAATTGGGCTGAACGGTTTCTTCTTTTGTACGGCCTCGCGCTGTGGTACCACATGAAAAAACATGAGCCTTCCACTCACATTATGCCAGTTAATGATCAGTTTTCAGAAGTTTAGATGCTACCACTCCGAGCCATGTAATGGCCAATTAGGAAGTCTCTAAATACAGAACCCCTGATTTGCTTTGATTCGATTCGCTGACAGCTAAAGAAATTATATATCAACCAGCAGGAACTGGGTTTTAGATCAATTGAATTCGAATGTTATTAGCACTTTCATTTACTGATCTTGAACTTTTCCAGCATTTGTTGCAGTTATTTTCTCATAATTTAACCTTTTTTTTGTTGCTCGTATTTGAAGTTACTGTAAATCTTTGTAAATCATTTAATAGTGCATGGATAGGTCTTCATTTCAGGTACTTTAACAGCTTGCCCTCACTTTTGAATTCTCTCAGTCTTCATTCTCTCTGAGACTCCATTTGAGTTTTTCCCTCTTGTCCTTCACTGTCCATCTTCCCTTTCATCCGTCTGTGCTGCATCTCACCATTTTTCTTCTTCTCCCTCTGTTCCTTGATGGATTGTGGCCCCCGAGCTGACTGTTGGGCACTGCGGCGGATCAAAACATAATTTTCACCCATTTATTTTAGCCTGAATCCACACTCTCTTTTCTCCCATCCTGTGCTGGAGTTCAGATAAAAAACTGGCCTATTTTTCCCATCATACACACTCTATCACCTTTCTCTCCTCCCACTTATTAAACACCTTGTTTTAATTTGCCTTCTATTTTGTTACACTTTCTTTAGAGTTAATAATCTAGGTCCTATGAAGCTATATTTGCTACGCTGTTTCTAATTTACACTAAATAAAAGTGCATGAAACCTGTGTTTCTCTTTTCGCATTCGGCCTCGATCACACACAAGATTTATGATTTTCCCCCGTTTTTGTCGTCTGTCGTCGGTTTATATTCCTGCTTCTGCCACTCCCACTTTGTCAAGGCCACCATCTTCTTGAGGTTACAGGCAGTAGTCTCCTGTTTCTGACATTTAACTTATTATTCCCTCTATCTGCCAAGCCGATCCTCCCTCTTACCCCTTCCTTTCTTCTCTCTCTTTTCTCTGTCACACACATGCACCCACCTCCTGACCCTGTCTCTTCTAACCTTTACATAAAGCCAGAGGATTTGCACGCAGCTGGAAAAAAAAACGATATTCAGCTTCGTTCCCTCCTGAAAACACTTAATATCTCCGATGCTGCTGTGGTCCCACCCCTTTAACACCAGATGAGTTGGCGCCGACCTGCATCAGTGCACTCTGACATTTATGTGGGCCAAGTACCTTTTTTTTTCATTCCCCAGCAGATGCATTTTTGTGTGTGGTGTGTTTGTACGGCACAGGATGGTGGTTAATCCTTTTCTTTTTTTTGTGTCACTCCATGCAAGCTTGGATTTGTGACACAATCGCCCAAAGTACGACATAAGACATAAGCATTACATACTGAAGATCTGGAAGAATATAGGTAATAATTATTGTAAATGTAGACGTGTCTGGGCCATTTCCTTTTCAGTAAGTGCCTGAAAAGGAAAAAGCTCCTTGAACTTGTAGGAATTCCTGAGTCATCACTGGTCAACAGAACAGTGGGCTTCCTTTCGCTTAACAAGTCATTCATTTAACCCAAATGGGATGGTAACACAGCGTCATCCTGGCAACTGTAACTCATATGACTTGTAACACCTTTACAGGACACCACCAAATGATGATTGATGGCAAAAACAGATATTAAATCAGAAATTAGCTTTGAATTTGGAGAGCAGTCATAATATTATTTGCATAATTTGTTGTAATGTTCCACATTTGTATATGTTGCTTTAAAAGGCTTCATTGTTTTAACTCCTAGCATAAGCACTGGTTGCTAATAATAATTCCTTGATTTATGAAAATGCTTTATTATTTAGGTTTACACTGGACTGTGTTTGAAGACAACATTGTAATCTGTAGTGAAAGTAGGGGGCAGGTGGAAGTGAGCCTTAAAAGGTGGAGGCGTGCCCTGGAGAGAAGAGGAATGAAAATCATTGGAGGCGAGACAGAATCCATGTCTGTGAATGAGATGGAGATGGGGGAAGATGCCGAAGTTTCAGTGAGTAGAGGCAGTGAAGCTAGGCAGAGATGGAATACCTGGGTAAACTATCCGAAGTAACAGACAATGCACAATGTGTAAAGAAAAGAGTGCAGGCAGGGTGGAGCGGGTGGGGACGAGTATCAAGGGTGATTTTTCACAGATGATAGCAGCACCAAGGGGTGGTTTACAAGATGATAGTGAGACCTGCTATGATGTATGGTAGACTAGCAAAGAGATATCAGGCAGAGCTGATGATGTGAAGATTTCCACAGGGACTAACCAGGTGGTGCTGGAAACAAGTTTATCACAGGCAGAGCTCTGGTCGAGCAGTTTGTAGACAAAGTTAGAGAGGCGAGGTTGTTCAGAGCAGGGACTGTGGATGTATCGGAAAAAGGATGTTGAGGATAGAAAGTGAGTCGGTTTGCTTATGCAAATATATGTTCATTCATTCATTGTCTTTGTTCCAGCAGAAATACACAAAGAAAGTGGCTTTTGACGTATGGTCAGTTACACTGGTGCAGTTTTGGGGCATTGCAATCAACAGTGTCACTTAAATTAGATGTCTGCTGTTTGGTCTGCGCTTCCACAGGCACCGTTGGTTTAGAAACTTATTCCTCATGAAGAAAGCAAGACAATCAGCGATTGATCTATTTTGCTTGAGCAAGGGAGGCCCCGGTCGGTGTCTCAGAAAAGCACTCTGGATCCAACCACAGACAACCTCGACTCTGGCCTCCACTTGCCGCCTTTTATTGAAAACAGTTACAATACACACAAGCACCTCCCATTGTAAAACCTCCCTATGGTTACAAAAGATAAGGCACTATGTGTGTACGTGTAAGCACGTGTATGGATGTGCGAGAATGTGTGTGTAGGCGTGTGTGTGTGTGTGTGTGTGTGTGAGTGTATATGTTTGTGTTTGTGGTACATTTGTGTGACCTCCTGCCCACAAAAGGATCATAAAAGCAGGAAGCAACAAACAGAACCTTCAGATAGGATGTGCCTATAATAAAACACTTCAGCCTCCCCCACCAACAAACTGGCTGGAGAGGTGGTCAGAGACAAAGGAATGTCTTTGATCTGCTGCTTGAACTAAGACTTACAAATTTAAGTAACACAATGACAATATTTAACAATTTTTTCTGTTGTTTCAACACCCCAAGAAACCAGTATCAACGTACATTTCTATCCCCAGGGATTGAAATGTACGCCCTCGGGGAAATAATTATTTGATCCCCTCCTGAATTTGTATGTTTGCTCACAAAGGAATGAGCAGTCTCTGATTTTTTATGGTAGTTTGTTTTTAATGGATCATAATTATTTCCCCCACTGTACCTATGTGTACCTTCATAGAAAAGTTATGTATATGTTCCTGTGCAGCAAAATGTACATATTTGTGTTGTAGAATTAAGTAGGAAATATCAGGAGACAAATAAAGAATGAAAATTAGGTAAAACTGAATTCTATACGCTACTCACCTCACATCATAGACATACATTTGAACCTTGCTAAGGTCTTTAAAGTTGGCTATATGTGTGAAAGATGAAAGTTTGAATACTCAGTAAAAGTATATTATGCCAGTCAGTGTCCAGGTGAATTAGTCAAATTAATACTTAGTAAGAAAAGATAATAAAGACTCAGATTGCTGGCTTACTTGTGGTTCCTGTGGTATTTCAAATTAGAATGGGAGGCAGAGGGCTCAGCTTTCAGGCCCTTCTTCTCTGGAACTAAGTTCCAGTTTGGATTCAGGACTATCTCTCTACTTTATATTAGGCTGAAAAGTATTACTGTAGGCTCTCCACCTTATAATATAAACCACCTTGTGGATACTGCTGTTGTAATTTTGTGTTACATAAATAAAATCGAATTGAACTGAATGCGGATTTATCTGAAAAAGTAAGGCTGTCTTCAAAGATGCTGTACATTCCACACTTATAATTAGACTTGATTTAGTTATAATCTGGTATGGAATTTACTAATAAACATCAGAAAGTGTTTGACCAAACAAAAATGTTCAATCAGGAAAAAAGGGCTCTTGGTATGTGCACCTAATCAAGTCATTCTGGTTAATTAAAGGTTTGCATTGATTTGATCTCTATCTATGGCTGCCTCTGTCCCTTGATGTTCGTCTGACTTGAAAGTAATTTTCACTTTTATTAACACAGCCTTGCTCCTCTTTTCTCATTCTCATTTAACAGTCAAAGCTCTACTTCTGAGATCTCTTGCCTTGGCTAGCAGAGAAAGAACCATTTGCTGGAACAACACCTGTTTCCCTGTCTGTGTGGACACGGGAATCCAGCTGGGCCACAGAGAGTTTTCCACAAACACATGAACAAGCTGAAATCCATCCATCAGTAGAAAGGACAGTTTTTGAGGAGCTCATTGGCATTTAGACCTGAGGAGTGACACTCCACGCAACCGACAGTGTCCTCAAGTGGGAAGGACTCTACCCACTGCTCTTCGGAGCTACTACAGTAGAGGTGAGTGAGTCAGTTCAAATTGTCCTCCCTTATATGAAAACCCCTTACACTGTAGTGTAGAACAACTGTCATTTTAACTCCTATTCAGTTCTAGTGAGGCATGGAGATTCTAATAAGTCCAGTGCTTTGGGCTGGGTTTGACGGGGCAGCCAGGCTTAGCTGAAGGCTCACCCACTGAAGCACTTTCCAGCAAGAGCACTTGACAGTACCCAGTGGTGTTTGACTGTGAAAAGCAACCATATGTGAAGGATTTTTTATTTTATTTTTTTCAGATAAAAAAATGGTAAGACATTTCTAGCCAAACTAGCCTGGCCGGCGAAGCAGGATGTCTGTTGCCATAGCAGCAGGTGCTAATCCATATGCATGGCTGGAATGAGCTTTTTGGGAAGGTGTGCTGAGGGAGACAGCTGTGCAAGACTTCTCTGGCTTAATACGTTTCCTGAATCTGTCATTTGGGTGGAGGTGGATGTGTGGCTTTTACTCAGACTCGAGTTGAAGTTTTGTGCACGATGATGAAATCTGCTGCCATTTACGAGACAAATACCGAAATGCTGTGTATACAGTTGAATTCTTGTGGTTTTGGCTGAGCATCCTCTGTGCTGGCTATGATGTCCCACTTCTGGCAGCATGCTGAAGGTTCCAGAGCTGGAAGGGTTCTTCTTTTAGAGACATTACTGGGTTAAAATCTGTCAGTGCAGACATCGGCTCTGTACGAGTTCTGCAGGGGGGAAAGTGGAAAACTTCTTTTTCTTATTAGTTCATAAGTAAGTTTGTCATTAGATAGCAGTGTCTTTAATTATTGCCACTGAATAGTTTGGATACACATACTGAAATAATATATTAAAATAGGCTTGAATAATAACACTAATAACACAAAATTCTACCACGTTACATCAATTCTGAGAATTTCAACTTGTGCACTCCAAAGTTTGCAAATCTTAACATCCACTTTGATAAAACACAGACTGTCTGGTTATTTTTTTTTAACTCAGATTATCTGTATAGTAGTTTCTTCTGGTATTCATGATATCGTGAGCAGCCAGGCAGTCATTTTCTTTGCCCTTTCAAATAGCTCAGGCTTGGGAAAGAAGTTGATTTGAAAAATGTGCATATCTAACTTTACTTAACATAAAAAAGACTATCCTGGCATGCTATGTATGTAAAGTGTGAATTTGCATTTTGAATTGCTCACTTTTAATTAAAATGATGAATGAATGAAGAGATTGGCAGCGGTGGAGTTCAGTCAGTGAATCCACACATAGTTATTCCAAGCGAATGCCTCCAGGGCTGAAAAATGAAGCCAGTGCACAAATGCCAAAACTGCAGCTCCTCGTGTGCACACTTAAGTGAAGCAAGTGAGCAAGGCAAGTTCATTAGTGGGACTGTTACAAAGTAACCCAGAATATGTTCTTGTTGGTGGCCATTTTGTTTATTAGTCGGATTGTTGCAATGACCAGTCTCACACACTTAAGACACTCTTAATTTGAAAACGGTGGCTCGTTCTTGAGCTGCTTTCAGATTTGTACAATTTTGTACAGTTTCTGAGATGTGCATTTAGCTTTGAATGGGGACCTGGGCTGCTGCTTTGGTAGTGTAGTTGTAAAGCCACCACTCATTTTGTCTTCCTTTGTAGGCTGAAGGTTATGAGTTCAAGTGCAGCAAGGGATGCTTTTCAGATTCAAGCAGCATAGAGCTATGTGCTGCATGAAATGACATTACAGTAATGTTATTGACAGTGTGTCACTACAGGGTGCAGCACTTCTCTCAAAAAGAGAAAAGAGGGGGTTTTCCCATGTCACGCCTCCCTAACGTTAGTATCATATGTGGGTTGGATCGTCACCATAGTCAGGCTGTCATGGTTTGTGGCACAATTACCACTGGCTCATGTGGGACATGCAAGCCTGGACTGTTGTGTGTTGTTGGTTGGCTTAGTGGGTTAGTTCCTGCTCTAAAGCCTTTCAGAAGCTAAAGGTTCACAATTCGACCACAGTTTGCAACAATTTTTTTCACCATGCTCTCTTTCTCGTTATGAACTTACAGTATGATTAATAGAAACACACATCAATTTGGGAAATGTTTGCCACTTTATTAGGCACAAATGTTTTCACTCTAGACAAACAAGCTATTTATCTAGAACGTTTTACTCCCATTGACAGCATGCCACAATCCAAATCCGCAAGTAGCTAATCCCACTGCAATTTCTCCCAGAATTGCAAATTCTAATAGTGCAAATCCCAGTATATGTTATTCACCTCTGCCATTTTGTTTATTATTATTATTAGTGGGATTGTTGCAAAGCAGCGATGCCAGTATATATTATTTGTTTCACCACAGTCTGGCTGTTCCCCTCAGTGGTACACTTACCACTGCCTCATGTCTGTTTTGTCAGCGGGATGGTGCATGTCACCCCAATAGCATAGTGGGTGCATCCCTCATCCTGCATGATCTCTGGCACTTTATTAGGCATACCTGTTTTTGGTCTAAACAAACATGCTATTTATCTACAACGTTTTGCTCCCATTCACAGCGTGCCAAAGTTCAAGTCCACAAATAGCTATATTGCCACCACAATTTCTTGCAGTTTATTAAGCCCTTTTCACAGACATGCAGTCACAACGTGCTAAACACAGAAAGATTTTTTAAAAATAAGAACATTAAATGCCATAATAACAATTAAAATCTACAATAAGGCACAATAAACAGGTAGTTTTAAAATATATCATTATTATTTAATAAAAAATCTCAACAAAAAGCCTGTTTAAACCAAACCCCACTCCCAAGTTTTTAGTTGTGTACGCAGTGCAACTAACAAATTCTGAGTCTGTGATTGAAGCCAGTGAGCAGACGTGTATTTTCGTAGTTAGGGGCCAATAACTGGCAATAAATGATGTTTTTTTTTCTTTTTTCTTTTTGCTATTGCTGACAAATACTTTGTGAAATTGTAATATTCTATTAGTCACTAAGTTACACTCAACAAAAATATAAACGCAACACCTTTGTTACTGCTCCCATTCCCCATGGGATGGACGTAGAGACCTAAAATTCATTCCAGATACACAATATAACCATCCCTCCCAAACAGTGGTCACAAATCAGTCCAAATGTGTGGTAGTGGGCACATCTGGGCACATCTGCTATATTGAGATAATCCATCCCACCTCACAGGTGTGCCACATCAGGATGCTGATCTGACATCATGAGTAGTCAAGCACATCCCGAACATGCTCAATGGGTGACATGTCCGGTGAGTATGCTGGCCATGCAAGAACTGGGACATTCTCAGCTGCCATCTGCCCTGAACAATGTGAACCATGATTCATCCGTGAAGCGCACACCTCTCCAACGTGCCAGACGCCATCGAATGTGAGCATTTGCCCACACAAGTCTGTTACGGCGACGAGCTGGAGTCAGGTCAAGACCCCGATGAGGACGACGGGCATGCAGTTGAGCGTCCCTGAGACGGTTTCTGACAGTTTGTGCAGAAATTGTTTGGTTGTGCAAACCAATTGTTCCAGCAGCTGTCTGGGTGGCTGGTCTCAGACGATCTTGGAGGTGAACCTGCTGGATGTGGAGGTCCTGGGCTGGTGTGGTTACACGAGGTCTGCGGTTGTGAGGCCGGTTGGATGTGCTGCCATATTCTCTGAAACGCCTGTGGAGACGGCTTATGGTTGAGAAATGAACATTCAATGCACGGGCGACAGATCTGGTTGACATTCCTGCTGTCAGCATGCCAATTGCACGCTCCCTCATTGCTTGTGGCATCTGTGGCATTTTGCTGTGAGACAAAACTGCACATTCCAGGGTGGCCTTTTGTTGTGGGCAGTCTGAGGTACACCTGTGCACTACTCATGATGTCAGATCAGCATCCTGATGTGGCACACCTGTGAGGTGGGATGGATTATCTCAATATAGCAGATGTGCCCACTACCACACATTTGGACTGATTTGTGACCACTGTTTGGGAGGGATGGTTATATTGTGTATCTGGAATGAATTTTAGGTCTCTACATCCATCCCATGGGGAATGGGAGCAGTAACAAAGGTGTTGCGTTTATATTTTTGTTGAGTGTAGTTACCTAGTTACGAGTTCTCACTCTGTACAAGTCACTGACCCTGGATCCAGCAAAACAGCCCCAGACCATCACACTTCCTCCTTCATGTCTGGCAGTTGATGCCACACACTATGAAATTATCCTTTTGCCTACTCAATGTCGATCCAGTGGTGGTGTTTAAGGGCCCAGGAAAGCCTCTTTGTCTTATTCCGACGTCTTAGCAACAGGGATGGGTATCGTTTAGGTTTTATCCGATACCGGTGCCAAACCGGTACTTTTGAAACGGTGCCGGTGCTTAAACGGTGCTCGAACCGGTGCTCGAACCGGTGCTTAAAGAATGGAAAACACAAATGTTGTCCAAAACCTCTCATGTTTAGCTGTTTTTTTGTAAAAAGATAACAATGTTAGCTTTTTCTGCAGCTATAGGGCATCTATGGTATCACTCTTGGCTGGAAGCAGCGCTTAAACAACGGAAAAAACACAAACTTTATCCAAAAACCTCTCATGTTTAGCTGTTTTCCACTTTTTCTTTGGTCATTTTAGCCTTTTGGCCAGGGTGAAGGGAGTATCTGCCATCAAACAAGAAGACAGCCGCATGTAACTACGACGGTGTTTGCTAGTTCACCTTACATGCGTTAATTTAATAATGTGGTTAGCGTACTCAACGTGAATTGCACACGAACAACATTAAGCTACTCACGCAGAGAAGAACGGCTGCTGCTGCTGCATCATCATCCATCATCATTTCTGCTACACTGGCAGGGCTAGGGGCCAGGACTCTCCTCTTCGGGTTCTTGGGGGATGTTGCTAACTCCGGGTCGATAACAGGCACCACGCCCGCAGTAAATGTGCTCAGTGTGAGGTCTTGCAGCAAGGTGTCAAATACGGTGCATTTCTCAGCTTTTAAAAAAACACTATGCGTCGCTAAGTGTTTCATCGAGGAGTTAC